GATGTGGAGGACAGAGCAAACCTCCAGGCCCTGGACAGCATGCCTGAATGCTGGCGCCAGGTAGGCGGGGTCTGTTGTTGTGCCTCCTGATGGTGTGCGTATGTGCCCAGCCTGACGGACAGGGTGGAGTGATCCTCAAGCTCCCAGGCAGCACGCTTCGCCTCGGAGGGGCAGCGTGAAGAGGCAGGTCTTCTCAGGCCCTCCTCGGAGCGCACCGAGGCAAGCTGGGGTGGGCAGGGCTGTTCCCAGGCCCCGGATGGCGTCCTTGGGCGGTGGTGAGCCGGGGAAGTCTGTTCTCGTGCCCTGAGCAGCATCTAGGCAGGTCGGTCCCTAGGCCTGCCGAAGGTGCATGAGGTGGGAGTGGGGACAGTTGCTCTTGGTGACAGTGGCCCCAGACAGACGATTCTCAGACTCTGGGGAGCATGCGCTTCCGCTTTCTTGGTGTCAGAAGCACCCTCCCTCGCATCTTGCCCCACTTAGTCCTAGGAGTGTAAGACTGTGTGAGCTAGAGTCCTGGGGACCCTCCATTCCACTGGGTCCAGCCAGGGTTGTGCTGCTGCAGCCCCCAGGTGGACACAGGGAACTGTCAGCAGGGCTCCAAGGAGCGTGGCACAGTACAGGGGCTGTCAGGCCTCAGGGCGGGATGCAGGCTGTGGGGGCTGGGCGCTCAAAGCGGGCGTGCTGCAGTGTCTTGGGTCTCAGGGGTATGCGGGACCCTCCCTTTCTGGGGCAGTGCTGTTGCGTCGACTCCGGCGCGTCCAGTCTAGTCCCGGGACTACATGGCTAGGATTGCAGGAGTCTATGATGGGAATGTGACCCACTGTGGATCTCAGTACCCTGTCCTTGCACTGAGGAAGCTCTTCAGGGTGCCAGCCAGGCCAGCTGTCACTTCCCTACTGAGTCCCAGTGCTCTCTAGATGCTCTATTCGACATGTGATTATCTATTTGCTGCTTTGGTCCTTCCTTGGAGGAGAGTGCCAGGTGCCTCCATTCAGCCATCTTGAAGCCCCGAACTCCCTTTTTAATGAGTTCTTTTTCTGGTCTTGTCCTATATACATTACCACTTTGCCAGCTTTCCAATGTGGTTTAATATCAGATGAATTCAGTTCCTTCATCCCTGTTTACCTTTTCCAAATTTTGTTCTCTTGCTCCATGTCCATTATTTTAGAGTCAATTTCTGTAATTTATATTGCCTAGGAAATCGTATCTCTTGTAGGTTTTCTCTCTTTCTTTCTTCCTTTCTTTTGTCAGTGGTTTGTTTTACTGGTCTTTCTAAAGATATATATTGTATTTTGGGCTTACAGGAAAGTTGCAAATTAATTAGGGAAGAACCTGAATCTTGAGAACCTGCCATAATGAATATGTTTCTGCATGTACTCAAATATTTTCTGTCACTTAGTAACATTTCAGAGACCCTCCCTTCCTTCCTACAGTTACAATGTATGTCTTAAAGTTATTCCTTAAATTTATATTTTGGTTGCTATTATAATGTGTTTGCTTTCCCATTATGGTAGGATATGGGCAAAACTGTGATTTCCATGTTGCTGTTATAACTGGCCACCTTACTAAATTCTGTTATTGATTCCCATAGGTTTTTCAGTGATCCCTTTGGATTTTTACTGACACTCACCGAAGGCTGGGGTATCTTTTTGTCTGCTCTTTTTCAATATTCACATCTCTTATTTCAGTTTTGCTTTAATATATGTGCTAGAATGTATAGAACAATATTTTACAACAGTAGGGCTCTTGAGCTTTCTTGACTCATTCTTGCTTTGAATGGAAATGCCTTTCATGTTTTGTCACCAAAGATGAAGCTAGTGGAGATATGTACTCTTTATCAGATTAACACAATATGCTTGATTCCCAGTAGGCCCTCCTTGATCTTCTTTGCCATGTCAGTGTGATTAATTATATCAGTATGATATCCTCACAGTCCTGGAATGAGCATCATTTAATCATAGAGTGCTTATTTTAGTATTTGCCTGAAACCAATTTGCTACAATTTTACTTAGGATTTTTACTTCCATAGTCATACATTGATCTGTAGTCTTTGTTTTTCTGGACTTGGGATTATATGAGATTCATAAAATAAATGTGGAAATTTTACATGTTTTTTCTTCTTCAGAAAATTCAGGAACATGGAATCATCTTATGTCTTTCCCTTGTGAGTGCTAACAAACTAACTCTTGGATATTGGTCTTTTCAAGTTTTTGCTTCTTCTTGAGTCAGTTTTACAAACATGTTTTTCTATAAAATCGTCCATATCCCTTTGTAATTAACACTGTTTGTATTATCTTTATTATATTTATTGTTAGTTAATGCTATGTTTAGGTGTATTTTTTATGTTTCCTTGAGGTGTGTCAATGTGGTTAGTATTTCAAAGATTTATATATATATATAATTGTGGTTTTTTTGAGTCAGGGTCTCACTCTGTTACCCCCATGGCTCACTGCAGCCTCAACCTCCTGGGCTCAGATGATCCTTCCCCCTCAGCCTCCCAAATAGCTGGGACTACAGGCGTGTACCACTACGCACAGCTAATTTATTTATTTATTTATTTTTGTAGAGATGAGGTCTCACTATGTTGCCTAAACTAGTCTCAAACTCCTGGACTCAAACAGTCCTCCCACTTTAGCCTCCCAAAATACTGGATTATAGGCATGAGCCACTGCACTTGGCTTATTACATATTGTGAATCATTTTATATTTATATTTAGAAATAAAAACGTCTGCCAAGTAGCAATCATTTACTAATCTACTCATGCTGTGAATTGAATTTTAAACAATCATTCTTAAAATGGGGTAGAAATGAACTACTACAGCTTGTTTAGAATTTACTTGCTTCTCAAAGGGCTTGACTTGTCCCAGGTAGTAAACAGCTAACTAAGAAGCGGCACACTATAACAAACAGACTGTAGTATTGGAAAAATTGATTGACAGCCAAATCTTGATTATGGTAAAACAGACATGAAGATCCCTGGAAAATTTACAAGTAGAAATAATCCAGTATTGTAATTTAGCCATTTGCTTTAATATCTTCTCAATTATAATAACTATTCACAGCAGTACGGAAATGATAGTATATTTGAATAGTTTTCATAGTCTTCTTTATCTCCTGACCAGTGTTCATCAACAGTGAGAAATCCAAATACATCTAGCAGAAAGGGGAAAAAAAGAATAAAGAAGTGGCATGGACAGCTCAAACTGTACGATCATTCTCTAGACCCGGTTGCCCCAATAGGTTTGCAATTCTAAATTGCTACCTGGCTGGACACGAAGCAGCTATCTGCTTAGCTCTTGCTGCTTCTTCTTACAAAACAGCAGTCTCCAAAGCATGGTATGCATGGCAACCAGCTGGCAAACAGAAAGAGAATGTGAGAATTTCCGTTCCTACTTATTTTTTTACCTTACTCTTTTTAAATGTCTTCTTTGAGTATCTTATATTAGTATAGTCATGGTACAAGTAATTTAGAAATAAAAAACTTCATATATTGGTGATGTATACTAGAAAATGTTTTACTGAAAGAGATATAAACCAAAAATCTTTGAAAACCACTAGTGTAGATAGTAGAAAGCACTCTGCACCACAAGTGGAGAACCATGAATTTGTAAACTGCTTTAATCACTTTTTAGTCAAATGAATTTGGTCAACTCTTGTTTTATAATCTGCAAAATGGGAGTAAGAATACCTGCCCTGCCTTCCTCACAGTGCTGTATTGAGAAAGAAATTAAACAACTGTGTTATTGCTTATAAATTCCATGTATGCTGTGCAAATTGTGAAATTTTTTCAGCTTTTAAAATATTTTCCTCAAATGCATTCAGCACCCTCATGTAATCTTTATAAAAAATTCTTTTCTTTATGAAAAATAAAATAAAATAAAAATAAATATTGGGTCAAAGATCTGACTGACACGTCACCAAAGAAGGTAGCTGATGGCAAATAAAATAAGCTTATGAAAAGACACTCAACATTCTTTATCATTATGGAAATGCAAATTAAAACAACAACCAGCTACCACTAAGCATCTATTCAAATGACTGAATCCTAACAAAAATGCCAATTGCTGGCAAGGATGTGGTGCAACAGGGACTTGCCTATTCTTGGTGAGACGAATATAGCCACTTTGGAAGACAATTTGTCAGTTTCCTACAAAGCTAACCTTAGTCTTACCATACAGTCAAGACATTGTGCTCCTAGGTATTTACCCGAATGATTGATTTTAAAATGTTTTGCCACATAGGAAACTGCTGAGTATCACATGTTCTCACTCATAAGCGGACCTTGAAAATTATCATTATAGTATAAGAAAAGGATTGGCAGTAGTGGGAAATTGCCAGGGGAGGGGGGCACATCTCATCAACAAGGGTACCTACATAATGACCATTTGGATACCTAACTCTGAATTGTACCCCACTCTTTAAAATAAAATTTTTTTTAAAATTAAGATAAAATACTTTTTAAAAACTAAAAAAAATTAAGACCATATTCTAAATAGTGGAAGGACATTTTACTTTTAGGATCAAAGGAGAAAAATGTTTAAAATTTAACAGTTCTGGGATTCCAAAAGATGTATTTCTTTTCAACCTCCCAGAAAATTTTCATGGCCAGATATTTTGGGAGAAGGTGATTAAAAGTAAGTGTAACTTCAGGAGAAAAGAATGTTTACAAAGGAGATAGAAAAATTAAAGCTTTAGAAATAAGGAATTGATTTTTTTAAAAACCGAAGTTTTTGTAAACTTAAGAGCCAGCATTTGGATGCCAACAGTTAATTATCCTAGAAATTTCTGAGATATTTTGTTGGCCTACACTATTCTTTGAATAAAAATGTTGAAATTAATAGCAGACCTACTGTTTGCTTCTTCTAATGCTACTATATTTTAGAGACTTAATGGCATTTAAGGATGCCAGCATATAGCAACACTGGGAATTTATGTTTCCTAGTATTTTGAAACTTGGAATTTGTTTTTCATTTTTCCCATCTTCCTTTCTCAATTATAGGTTGAAGCTCCATTCATACCAAAGTTCAGAGGCTCTGGAGATACCAGCAACTTTGATGACTATGAAGAAGAAGATATCCGTGTCTCTATAACAGAAAAATGTGGAAAAGAATTTGGTGAATTTTAGAGAGCAACAAGATGACATCAGAGCTCACACTTAGTCTTTGCACCCTGTTGAGAGAGGTGGGCTGAGACCACCTTGTTGAAGCAGTTACCCAGTTCCTTCATTCCAGCCACTGAGTGAGGCCTTCATCGCCGTCATCGTGTGTGCAGTCTGCAGCCACCTTTGTAACGAGGCACCGCTGAGCAAGCACTGTCTGTGCCACCACACAGGACCAGACCCCTTTCCTGCTTCTCTCTGGGTTGTCTTTCTCTTCCCCTGTGTCCATCTCTTCCTCTTTCGGTTTCATTGGCTTTTTCTAAACAGTGCTCCATTTTACTTTGTCGGTGTTGAAGACGGGCAGTGTTATGGCTATGTGATATTTGAAGGGAAGGATGTGTGTTGCTTTTAGTCGTTCTTGCCAATGTTCTTGTTGGTCAATGGCTTGAAGGTAGACTTTCTAATAATTACTTTTACTTCGAGTAACTCTGACTCAGTGTTGCCAAAACTCTTGACAGTTTTCAAAGACAGAATATTTTGTCACCAAGGAAATTTATATAAATTAAGACAATAACTTTCTTGAAATTAGATATTCTGGCAATAAATTTGGATAATATAGAATAGCTTGACCCAGCATTTTGGATTCCTGTAGATCAGAGGTTTTATTTCCCTTTGCCTCCTTTTATATCCTCCCCTTGAATAATGAAATGACCAGACTGTATAGTGTGACAAATGTGTCTCATTCAGCAGGAAAAACTAATGATGTAGCTCATCACCCTGATTCTCTCACTTGGTACCAGCATTTCTGCAGGCATTAGAGAGGAGTTTGAAGTTTTCTAAACCTTTACGCTTCTTTAAGGATTTTAGCCAGTATTTTAATAGGACGAGATTAATGAAAGTGACAAATTGTAAAGTTTCTCTAATAGTCTTCATTGTAAGCTTTTTAAAGGAAAAGAAGTAAACTGAAAAGAGCCTTGGTTTGGATAAATACTTTGCTAAGCCAAATAAATAGCTTGATTATTGCAAACAATGTAGAGGTACTCTTATTTAAATATTTGTGTTTTTTGTAACAGTTAAGAACAAAGAGTTGTTACCAGCTGATTGTCCTGGTGTACTATATTTGTGAGCCTGAGGGAGGGACTTTGCTTGTAACCTCTGCTTTCATCCCATGCCTCTTCGATGAGGAAAAGGGACAATGTTTATAAAACTGCCACAATTGTATTTTAATTTTGAGGTGTGATATTTTCAGATCTGTCATAATTTCTGGCCTCTTTTCTCTCAGTAAGCAGAACGTATGATTAATCATGCAGATATGACTTTAATATTCCAGTTTTGTCTTGGTTTTTTCCTATACTTTTTGCCACTGACTTAACAACATTGCTGTCAGGTGGAAATTTCAAGCACTTTTGCACATTTTAGTTCAGTGTTTGTTGAGAATCCATGGCTTAACCCAGTTGTTTTGCTGTTTGTTTCTTTGCTTTTTATTTCCCCATCCGGTTTTATCTCTGTGTCTCAGTGACCTACTTTGAAACAACACACCAGAATAGTTTAAAATAAACTGTGTTCATTTTTTATGATCAATTTACATGCATACAGAGTGAATTGTTTTTAATCAAAGCGATCTCAATGTATATAACCATCCTATTTGCTTCACTATCGGTGCAGGTAGGTCATTGACACCACTTCTTTTCATCTGTACCACACCCTCGTAGAACCTTTGAAGACATTAGAAAATCCTGTTTGAAATATTCTCTATTCGTCTTTTGGTTGTCAAGTGTTTCTGCATGGTAATGTCACATAAACTGATACTGAGTTCAGTTGGTCCACCTATATTTAAAATGTGTGAGAAAAATTTGAAATACCCTGTTGTAGCAAGTTTTATGTAACAAAGATATGTTCTCATGTTGATAAATTTAAAACATCATTTGTATAAAATATTTTAATTTTTTTGTATTTCATTTAGACCCAAGAACATGCTGATCATTGTATTCTATGTGTATACTACAAATTCTATGGTAGCTTTGTTGTATATTATTGTAAAGTTATTTTAATAAATCATGAGGATGACAATGTGACTATTGCAATTTAGTTTTCAGTAATTGAAAAGATTTCTGTGAATTCTAAAAATACTTTTCTCTGTGAACTCACTAGCGCCCAGCTATGAGTTCACCTGGGGAGGTGGCCCCAAGCAGGCACCGCTCTTGCAGGCTGTTCAGCCACCCCCTCTCTCTGTTGAAGGGCACGAGCAAGCTCATCAAGAGCCAGCGAGTCAGGGGAGTCTGTGTCTGGCCAGTCAAGTACACTAAATTAGAGCATGTTTAAATTATGTGACATTCCCAGTTTCAGCCACAATTTAGCCAAGAGCAAGATAAACACTTGAATAAGAAATAAGTGGTATAAATCAGTATTTAACCTCAAATTGCATTATTTGAAACAGAAGACGTTATGCTTTGGCTCTGTAAATAATTAAGAGATGGCATTGTATAAGAAGGAGCCCTAAACCAAAAGTCAAGACAGCTGAGTTTCAGGCCAGCAAATGATCAGTATGACCTTGGCCTCAGTTCTCATATCCATAAAATGGAAGACTTGGATTAGGCAGTTTCTAAGGTTTGTTCTAACTTTCATGAATTATGACAAGATTCTCTTATCTCATATTTTGAAAAGATATCATGCTTTGAAGTAAGTCTCAGTAAGGCGATATATTTTGTGAGGGCATTTTTCTTCTTATCTATGACAGTGTTCTTGCAATTTTTTGAATATCATAAGAACCTCATGTCTGTCCTAATTCCTTCCTCATTCACTGATACTGAATTACCCAGTTGATATAAAACTGTCAACCTACCAAAACAGATACTGTGGCTTATGGGTATTGCTGTCTTGTTCTTGGTATATTCGTGTATTGACTGCCCATTGGCCTGAAAATACTCATTGTAAGCCTGAAAACAAATCATTTTTCTTTCTCACTGACTGTTTTTTCTGCTTGTTGTAAGAATCAAATGAAATAATGTATGTGAAGGCACCTTGTAAACTGTAACCTATCAATGTAAAATGTTAAGATGTGTTGTTATTTCATTAATTACTTCTTTGTTTAGAATGGAATTTCCTATGCACTGCTGTAGCTAGGAAATGCTGAAAACAACTGTGTTTTTTAATTAATCAATAACTGCAAAATTAAAGTATCTTCAATGGATATGACAATTTATTGAATCTTGAATTCTATTTGATGCCCTTATCTCCTGGCTTATTTTCCGTTGACACTACAGATGCTTATAGATTCCTAGTTTTATGTATTTGGGAAGAGAGTCCATCAGTCTACTCAGTCTGAATGTTTACTAAGAAACTGCTCCATTCATTTCATTATTTCTCACAAGTGTTTTCTACTTTCTTCTCATGCCTCCAAATTAATCCTAACATAAAGTCAGAAGTAGTCATATTTGTAGAGTTTGCTACTACAAGGGCCCTCATCCTTATATTGTAACAATGAACTACTAACTCCTGTCAGACTAATCCCAGGCATCAAGTTATCTCCCCTCAAAGCAGTGCTGGCTGGGGCACGGTGGCTCAAGCCTGTAATCCCAGCACTTTGGGAGGCCGAGGTACGAGGATTGCCTGAGCCCATGGGTTCAAGACCAGCCTGGGCAACATGGTGAGACCTTGTCTCTACAATAAATCAAAAATTAGCCAGGCGTGGTAGCACATACCTGTAATTCCGGCTACTTAGAAGGCTGAGATGGAAGGATCACCAGAGCCCAGCAGGTCGACGCTGGGGTGGCCGTGAGTGTGTCACTGCACTCTAGCCTGGGCAATAGAGTGAGACTCCAACTCAAAGGAAAAAAAGTGCTAATGCCACATAAAACTGAGCACACCAGGCTCATTGGGTTTGGAGTCTCTGCCCATCTCTTATTGGTGATTCTAACAGTACAAGGACTGAAAGGAAAAGTAGGAATGCCAACTGAGGGTTGATGACGATGCCCCAGCAGTCCACTGTCTCCTGATTTAGGGGCTAGCAAGGCTCACAGCCCATAGTTACCTTAATAAGATTCATTTTCTACTGCCGCTCTAACAAATGTCCACAAACTTAGTAAGGCTTAAAACAATACAAATGTGTTATCTTACAGCTCTGGAGGTCTCACCTCCAAAATAAGTCACAGTGGGTTAAGTTCACAGGGTCAGCAGGGCTGCCTTCCTGTCTGGAGGCTCTAGGGAGGAATGTTTCCTTGCCTCTTCTGGTTTCTAGAGACCACCTGCTTTTCTTAACTTGTCACATTCCTCCATCTTCAAAGCCAAAAACATTGGGACAAGTCCTTGTCAAACACTCTCACCTTCTCTTCTGCCTCCCTGTTATTTTTTAAAAACTCTTATGATTATATTTGGCCCATCTGGGTAACCTAGGCTAATCTGTTTAAGATCAGCTGATTAGCAACCTTAATTCCAATCTACTACCCTAGTTCCTCTTTGCCATATTACTGACCATAGTCACAGGTTCTCAAGATTAGGACGTGGACATTTTGTGGGGAGAAAGGCATTATTCTCCCTACCATGCTTAATGGTGTCGTTTTAGATGGAAAATATTGTTATCTGAAAGATGGGAGTAAAGGCAATCTTTTCACAATTCGAAGACCATAACGGTTTAAACTGAGATTTCCCTGAAGCCTAGTGTTTAGCATGCAAGGAGTATTAAAGTGCATTGTTACAGAACTTAATTGAGTAACCATGTCAATTCTGAATACCTTCAAAGATACTCAGCATCACTACTTACCACTGTAGGACAGTTCTCTGAGTAGCCTTGGACCAACTCATTTCTCCCTCCCCACATTTCCTGCATGCGATGCTCAAAATAACCACAGAATGTGCTAGGAATGCAATACCCCAGTTTAGGGAGGAACTCCCTGAAAGAAGCTTGGCCTTGTTCCTGTCCCTCCAAGGAAATGTAACGTCTCAAATTAGGAACAGCCTGGGACAGGATGTCCTTCAAAGCTTGCCCAGCGAGTCATGTGGCTCCTCAGGTGTATAACCCCAGGTAGGCTGCCTTTCTGGGTTCCTCAGCTACCTTGCAAGTGGGACATGCACAGCTGAGACTCCATCTGCTCCCAGCAGCTTCCTCGACCCTCGAGGGACTGAGGATGGATCTGAGACTTCTTTTTATTCCTTGCCTATCTGTAGGTAATAAACCGTCTTCATGTAACTTGTGTACGGTCACGTTCGGTCTTACCAGACTCAGGCAAGTGGTAGAACTAGTCCAAGAGGCAGTGGGCAGAAGTGGTGGGACTCCTGTTTCTGGTGGTTGGCTTGGTGATGATCTTTGTTATCCGTCCATGCAGTGGGAATCCTTCCTTGGGATTGGTAATTAGTGAATCTGCTCTACCACGAGCAACATGCACATTAAAGTCTCAAATGCCACTACGTACCCAATAGATGGCTACGGTTTAAAAGACTGGTAATATCTTGTCTTGGTGAGGATGTAGGTTAACCAGAACTGTCAGGCATTGCTAGTGGGCATGTAAAGTGCGACAACCATTTTGGAAAACTGACAGTTTGTTACAAAGTAATCATTCACTTACCATATGGTCAGCCATTCTACCTCCAGGTATTTACCCCAGACAATGAAAACATATGTCTACACAAAGACGTGATTGTTGGCAGCAGCTTTAAAACAGCTCAAACTGAAAACAATCTGAATTTCCAGCAATAGGTGGATAGATGAACAAATGGTGGTATATCCATGCAGTGGAATGCTACTCACCAATAAAAAGGAACAAACTACTGAGATAAGCAACAATATGAATGCATCTAAAAAGCATTTTTCATTATATACATTTATCAGAACTTGAACTGTGTGCTCAAAATAAGTACATTATACCTCAGTAAAGATGATTTTTAAGATTACAAAAAAATAAAATTGAGAATTGATTATCATAGAAGATTAGTAATCTAGAATCGTGGTCTCCAACCTTTTTGGCATCAGGGACCAGTTTCATGGAAGATAATTTTTCCACGGACAGGAGTGGGGTGGGGGGGAATCATTAGGCATTAGATTCTTTTTTTTTTTTTTTTTTTTGAGTTGGAGCCTCACTCTGTAGCCCAGACTAGAAGCCACTCCCAGCCACCACAGCCTCGACCTGCTGGGCTCCGGCAATCCTTCCGCCTCAGCCTTCCAAGTAGCTGGAACTACGGGTGCGCGCTACCACGCCCGGCTAGTTTTTTGATTTATTGTAGAGATGAGGTCTCGCCAAGTTGGCCGGGCGGGTCTCGAACCCTGCAATCCACTCACCTCAGCCTCCCCAAGCGAGGGATTACAGGCTGAGCCACCAAGCCCGGCTAGGCATTAGATTCTTATAAGGAGCTGGCAACCTGTATCCCTCATATGCACAGTTCACAATAGGGTTCAGTTCCTATGATAATCTAATGCCGCAGCTGATCTGACAGAACATGGCACTCTGCTGACCTGACAGAACATGGCACTCTGCTGACCTGCTACTCATCTCCTGCTGTGCGACCCCAATTCCTAACAGGCCTCTTACTGGTACTGTCCATGGCCCTGGGGTTGGGGACCCCTGATCTAGATGATATGGTCTGGGGAAGCTCTCAGAATGAGTCTTTAAAAGACAGAAATAAGCCGGGCTCGGTGGCTCAGCCAGTAATCCCACACCTTTGGGAGGCTGAGGTGAGTGGATTGCCTGAGCCCGCAGGTTCGAGACCCGCCTGGGCAGCAAGACCTCATCTCTACAATAAAATTTTTAAAAAATCAGCTGGGCATGGTAGCGCATGCCTATAGTTTCGGCTACTCGGAAGGCGGAAGGATCGCAGGATCCCAGCAGGTCAAGGCTGCGGTGGCTGGGAGCGGCCACTGCACTCCAGTCTAGGTGACTGAGTGAGACTCCAACTCAAAAAATAAAAATTAAAAAAAAAAAAAGACAGAAATAGAAAAAATACCCCCAAAAAAGTTTTTATGTTTTTTTGAAGTTATAAAACTTCTTTATATTTTGCTTTTAATTGACAAATAATAATTATTTATGGGGTGCAATGTGATGTTGTGATATAATTTGCCATAACATGGATTAACTTGGAGCACATTATGCTAAGTTAAATGACTTTTTTTTTTAGAAAGCAGGATTTATTGAGAGAACAGAAAAGCTCTCACAGCAGGAGGGGACCCAAAGGGGTTGCCCTAAATGACTTAAGTGAATGTTTAGCTCATGGGTTTTTAAGTCTGTGCTATTTTCGTTTTTTGTTTGTTTATAAGTTTATTATAGAAATGTGGGTACAAATCAGGATTAGGTACATAAGTAATCTATGTGCAAGTGACGTTTGTTACTGTGATAGATCACTAAATACGATGGTCTCCAACTCCATCCAATTTGTTGCAAAGTCCATGATTTTGTCCTTCTTTATGGCTGCATAATACTCCATCTGTATATGTACCACCTTTTCTTGATCCAGTCCACTTTCAATGGGCAGAATTTTACCTCAAGAAACACAGTACTTGTCTAATAGCTCTAAAAGGTGGAGACTGAGGAAATGGAAAGGAAATCGACAATTTACAGAAGAAATATCCCTGAGCTGAAGACTCAAGTCTTCTAATCAAGTGACTCAAAAATCGCTATGTTTTGAAGACAAAACATATGCATTCACACATGAACACATATAGATATATTTTTTTAGGGTTTTAGAAACCAAATCCAGTTAGCTTTTAGAGGGGAAAAGAATAGATTATCCTTAAAAGAACAGTTTCTTATTTACACAAGGAGGTAAAGAAGTAATGTTTGCAACTTTCTGAATATTTTTTTCCTCAGCATTATATACTTAAGCAAACTATTGCTTCAGTGTGCAAAGTGCACAAGTGGGGGACTGTAGTTCTCAGACACCCTAACCCTCAGGCACCCAGATAGACCTGACCAGGGAAGTAATGGTCAGAGACTGAAGGGCAGGAGAAAGGGAAAGCCAGAGTGTTTCTCTCCTCACCTCTCTCCCTCTGCTTTCTGAGTACTATAATCTCCCGGTCTTCACTGTCCCAACTGGTTATGGTCATGGCTCCATGCTCCACTGGGGGACCCCAGCTTCTGAACTCTGGGAACCCTGATTTCTCCTTTTTACTTACAATCCTTGTAAAGATATTTTAAAACATGCTCTGTCGTTGCCATGTATTTGTGGAGAGATAGTAAAGACAGGAAAGAAACGTTGGTGTGTCTTTAAAGTTT